GGCCTTCTCAGCCACACTAGATGCTGTTCCAAGTCCTCCATACAGAGCACGTAACCATAGTCTTTCGAGACTGAAGGATGCCTAACTCTCTCCTCTGTGTTTGCACAGGGATCTTTATGGGCTACTTTGTAGGGGAAGGGAATTTCTGCAGCAGCATGGAGCCCTTGATGACTCACTGCTTAAGGGCTGCTTAATTGAAGGGGAGGTGGTACGTATGTGGGCAAAAGGGTGAGGCTTATACATAAGTGTATGTATCTACCTACCTATCTATCTGTCTCAGATATATTTTATCTGCTTATTACTGTAATAAAATTTTATACTATTATGAACAAAGATTTCCCATAATAATGATGATGATGATGACGATAATTCATTAAATAGTATTTCATCATTTCCTAAACCTACTGAGATGTTATTAAATATTGATTAAAGTAAATAAAGATTACAGTTAATTATAGATGAAATGCAACAAAGTATAGTATCGTGCACCTTAAATTTGTTTACTGTAGCAGCAGCAGTTGCTGGCTGGATAGCTTAATGTGTTAGGTATCTGACTGCATAGCCAAAGGTTGGGAGTTCAATTCCCCCACTGTGCGTCCCCAAAGAGCCAGCCTGTCTGGCCTTGGGCAATCTGCACAGTCCAACAATTCCCCCAGAAGAAGAGAATGGTAAACCCCCTCTGACTAATCTCTTCCTAGGAAACCCCCCCAAATAATAAAGGTTTGCAATTAAACTTCTTGTCTCTTAAAAAATTATGAAATCTTAAATTAGAAGAAATTACAGGTTTCCTCTTCCAAGAAATACTAGGGGGAAAGGGAAGGCAGTAAACTTTGTTTGTTGAAGTTCTACATAAATGGTTACATTTGTTTTCTTTTTTAAAAATGGTGGGTACACATTTTTTAATCAATGTTATTTTAGATTGATGGCATGCAACCCCCCAAAATTCCTCTAACTCTTTAATCATTTGTTTCGCTGTTTTGCAATTCTTAACATAGGTAGTTGTGGGTCACTTAAATTGGGGTAAATTACGGTTTTTGCAGTTGTGTCTTTCTTTTCCCAATTCCAAGCAAATAGTTATGTTAATCCTCTCCACCCCCCTTTTTTGAAATCTCCGTTGTCAGTCTTGAAAGTAGTTACAACAATAAGAACCATTTGTTCCTTTGTAAAAATCCTAATGGTTTTAGGAAACTTGTCTTGCAGCTTTTTTCTACATTTTCCTTTATCATAAACATTTCAAATGCAAATTATGCATTTCCAACAAATTTTTTATAGGCATATAATACAGTACAGCCTCAATGTCCAGATGCCCAAGGAAACATATTATCAAGCAATGCAGTAATCCACATGTGTGTCTAAGGAATAAATGGCTCTGAGACTGCACATAGGCCTTGAGTTGAATTGTGCCCAACTCTTCCACAGAAGAAGGTGTACATGATGACTGCTTAATTATGTGCTTTTATGGCTGGTTCAGAAAAGAGGCTGGGCATCCTCCCTAGACTGTTCCATGAAGTGATCATGCATTTCTCACACAATTCTGAATTCTGAATATGAATGAATAGGAGCTGAATCTGAGTATTCAGGAAATAACAGTCATGTGCTAACTTCACTTCAAACCCAAATCCCACCCTTTTTTTTACAATGAGCTCCCCCCCCCAGTCACCACTAAGTTGTTTTCAGGAGGTTTTTGGGGGGATGGCACAAGTCAAACATTAGTTCCTGTTGGAAGAACCAGTGTGAAGTGAAAGAATCAGTCTCATTTTATGATATAAGCATATTCCCTTAAATGTCGAATTGATTGTCCTAGGTAAAGGAGGCTTTCTATGTAGCTACAGTGATGTAAGCATGGCTTTTTATTCATTTCTAGTCGTCATCCTAGACAAAGTGACAAAGTTTGGAAATAGGAACCATATGAGCAGGGGCAGCGTTTCTTGTGATTTTGACATGAAAACATTACTATGGCAACATATGATAAAGTCATGGAGAAGTGGTTCTCATGTTCCTGTGATAAAGTACCAAAAGTTTAAGACTACCACAAAGTTGTTATACTATATGGTCTTCTGCAAACAGTAGTAAAAATTAAAGGCCATTACTGGTCACTCAGCATTGGGGTGGTATTCAAGCAGCTGCATTATAAAGATGGCTTGTCTTCCAGAAGTACTAACCTACATTTTTTTAACTTCATCTTTTTTTAGTGTGGTAAAGCACTCCCTGGTCTCTCAAAGCAAGAAGATTGCTGTGGGACTGTGGGTACTTCCTGGGGTTTTAACAAATGCCAAAAATGTCCAAAAAAAACAGGTAAGTGTTTTTTAGATTTGTTTTCCATCCCAGAATTTATATAATTGTATATACACATTTGATGGGTACCTACCAAGACAGAAAGTCAAGTTGTGAATAACTTTGAGATTTAAAGCTTTTTGTGCTGTTTGCCAGTACTATTTTTCAGAAAGGCAGTTAGCTTTTGACTGTGATAATTAGCAGACAAAAAATACCCATGTAAGGAATTAGTGTAGTGTTCATGAATGTGGAAAAATGTTCTCTGATGGTGCAACTGTCTAGGTCAAAGAGATTTTCTATCTCTTGTATTTAACTCCAATCTATCTAATTAAAAAAAAAAGGATTCACAGGCTTACTAATTTCACAAAATGTTCAGAAGTCCCACAAATTCCCAATAAGCATTAAGAGGAAACTGAGCAAGCTGTTAACACTTTTGACATTTAACTGCTCTCTATGCCTGGTCGTTGACTCATTCACAGGATACTGATTCAGGGTCACTTTATTCCCATGACATTTTGATATCTTCCATGTTTAAAATGTTATTACTCACTAGACAGTAATCATGTCGGATAAAAGTGGGCTTTCCCTCATATTTTGTATAGTTTTGAGCCTTATGGCCTTTGCTTTGAGATTGAAATATTTTTATAATGCCAGTTTGGGTACATTTTAGAAATTATGAGGATGCTAAGATATTTTGATGAATTTATACATTGAAAAACAACATAGGAAAATATTTTTAAAAGGTTTAAAGAAGGTTTGATGTATAGAAGTGGACCCAACAAGTGGGTCCTGCACCAAAGTATATCGCAGCATATCTCTGACTCTTGAGAGGGATATTTCAGGTCAGGGCTTCAGCAAGATGTCTCACTACTGCTATTTGGGGCTTGCAGTGGATACTTGCCCTGTTTTTCCCCCCACGTAATTGTTGTACTGTATAATGCTAGCATCTCTCATTTGGCAGGCCATGAGCCCCTGTCTGACTTCACACCTGAACACAGAGAGTTTTGTAGTAAAGGGGAAAAGAAAATTGCGGAGGAATTTTAGGTAATCTAAAAATGTGTCTTCCTGCACTGGTATAACATCTTCAGAGTATTTTAAAAGGCTCAAGCAGGTCAATTTTCTTCCTCTCTCTGTTTTTCCCTCTCTGTTTTCATTTCCTATCTGACACCTCCAATATCCTATGGTTCAAATGCCTTCAGCCATACTTTATATTTATATTTATATACCATCTTTCTAGAAAGACCCTTTAAGGTAATGTATATTTAATATATCATATTAATGGAAACAGCACTAATAGGCAACTTTATTAGTGAATAGATTCTGCTGTGTAAACATCTTTAGAAAAGTGGTGGTTCATTTCTTAGTCTTTTGGCCTGCCTGATTTCACTTTATTTTCTCTTCAAGAACAGAAGTGAGACCTCTTTTCTTCAAAAACCAGAGCAATCGAGGACTTGAGTGTAGCATGGGTGACCTGTGGTCACCCTGAAACCCTGCTCATACCACAGGAGTTCACAGCAGTTGGCCCACACTAGCACACAACACATCCCTCTAAAAAAAGCATGTACAGTGGTGCCTCGCTTAGCAATTGCCTCGTTTAACGATGTATTCACTTAGCGATGAGGTTTTTGGAGCGATCTTGCGCTCCGTTTAGCAATGCTTCCTATGGGGAAATTTCGCATAGTGATGTTCGGGACCTTGCTTCGCTTAGCGATGACAGTTTAGGTTGCCCTATTTTGCTTAGCGATGTCTGTTTTCGCTATTTTAAATGTGTCTTAAAATATTCCAAAACTGTTTAAAATGCTTGGAATCGTTAGTGCACCCTGTAAAACCTTTGCAAACTTAATTTGGCTTTGTTCTGAGTCTTCGTTAATTTTTGGTGAATTTTTCCCCCCCCATTGGAATGTATTGAGCTGTAGGTTTGACAGCTGTCAAAAATTAACAAAGATTCAGAACAAAGCCAAATTAAGTTTGCAAAGGTTTTACAGGGTGCACTAACGATTCCAAGCATTTTAAACAGTTTTTGAACATTTTAAGACACTTCAAAAATAGCGAAAACGGACCTGTCAAAACCATTGAAATGCATTGAAACCTATTCAATGCATTCCAATGGGGGAACCACACTTCACTTAGCGATGTTTCCTATGGCGGTTTTCGCTTAAGGACGGTAATCCGTTCCCATTGGAACGGATTATCCGGTTTTCAATGCATTCCTATGGGAAATGGTGTTTCGCTTAGCGATGTTTTCCCATAGCGATGTTTTTTTAACCAGTTAACATCGCTAAGCAAGGCACCACTGTATGCTATGACACATAAAAACTAAAGTGCAAATATGAGAATCTCTTTAATAAAATACTGTGAATCCTGCCTGGCCTGGCTTGTTCAGTGGGATGTTCTTTCTCTGTTCTCTGCTCCATACATTACAGATGAGAAAGTTCAAACACACAAGGGTTTATTGGCACTCAGAGAGGCATAACAATCAATGGATCTATAATACACTTACAGTCCTTGACCCAGCTGCATATACCAGTCTAGTGTCCAGTTCTAAAGTCACTTGTCCCCCCCAACCCAAGTTCCCTTAGTCAGGAGGTCTATGTGCTCCTCAACAGCCCTGGTTCTCATAACCAGGGTCGCTGAAGTCCTCAGTTCCCCCAAACCAACAGCCTGGTCTCCTCTTTCTGGTTCCAGCACTAGCATTCCGCTTGGCATTTTCCCTTATTAGCATTGGAGCTAGGTGGCTATCGGCTCTCTGTTTTTCCCCTTTGTCCTCCACTCCCACTCTAGGTGATGGATACTCTGCTAGTAGTAGGAGTGCTGGTATAGAGGCTAAGGGTTTTGGTGCTTTTCCTTTTCTCTTTTGCAATTCCACTAAGACCCAACCACAGAAGTCTCCCTTAAAAATATAGTGCCATTCCCCTGGGAATTCTAGTCTTCCTCTGGGGACCACTTGACCCAATACATCCCTGAGAAGTCCTCCCTGGCATTCCCCCCATGCCCCTTCCTCCAGGTCCTCTTCTCTGATGGGACAGCCAGAACGCATTTCCCTGATCTTCATCAGCTTAGCAGCCTGTCTCCTGACAGGTCTTCTCCGACGGAGGTTCTGCCTCTGCTGTGGCAAGGCAGTTTTTATACTCTACAGGTGCCAGGGGCAAGCAATCCTTGGGGTCACCTCTCTTCCCTAGGGGTCCCTGCCAAGGCAGGAGTGCAGTTTGAGACCCTTTATTCTGGAGTGGGTCCTCTCCTTTCTTCTTGGGTCCACCTGTTTATCTTCCCAGTCTCCTGACCCCTTGGCGAAGACTTGAAGTAGCTCCATTGGTGCTTTGGGCCCTGGGTGGGAGCACAACAGCTCATCAACAACAATGCCCTCACCATTGTCCTCTTCTCAAATACATTACTCTAGAATGATCATATTTCTCTCACCCATCAAGCCATGCAAGCTTTAATTTACACAATTATGTATTTTTGGATAGTCCAATGATTTGGTTATTTGGTATGGAGCTAAATATTGAGAGTTTAATTCCCCCACTATACCTCATAGGAAAAGAGGGCCCCAGAAGAAGGGTATGGTAAACCCCTCTTGACTATACTTAGAATACCTTGGACAGGGTAACCATAAGTTGGAAATGACTTGATGGTGTATAATACATATACTCTGTTTCCCCGAAAATAAAACATTCACTGAAAATAAGCCCCAATGCATTTTTGGAGCAAAATTTAATATAAAACCCTGTCTTATTTTCAGGGAAACACTGTAATTATAACCATGGGGATACATTTAACATATATAAAGAACATATGAGGAAACTATTATATGTGCAGTTATGTTGGTGTGGTAATGATGGTTTTAAGTGGGGTTGAAAAGTATGGTTTAAAGAAATTAGCATATTCAAGAAATTATTCAAGATGAAGTTATATAAGGCAGGCCTTAAGGACAATTTCCCCTCGGATGATGTTAATTTTGACATTTGAACCTCAGGCTTCTGTAGATCAGAATTCTGCACTCAAATCAGTTATATTGCCATTTTGATTACGATACTATGTTTTTGTGGGAAGGAAGTAGGTGATGGTTTTGCTTGTTTGTACGTCACCTAAAGTAGTGTGAATTCACGAATTGGCTGGTACAGTATATAAATAAAACAAAATAAAGTGAGCTTGAAAATGTTACTTTTCGGGACTACAACATCTAGCATCCCCACAGTCAATATAGATTGTAGTCCTGCTAGCTGGAAGTTCTGGGAGCTGTAATTTTTTCCCCAACCTCACTTTCAACTTTACTTAAAATTTAAAGATTACTTTTAACTCTGCGTGCCTGATTATCCGTCATGAGCAACTGTGATCAGTGCTTGCTGATAATGAAGAAAGTTCAGTGCATGAGAGCCAAGAAAAGAGAAGCATGTGAATACCTGACACTTTCCCAAATCTCTAGAAACTTGTTTTAGAAGCTTGGATCATCCAGTTGGGTCATTTGTAATTTACTAATTAATTTTCTCATTCAAATTTAGCTTACCCAGCATATAGCCCAGTAGTGGATTGTCCACAAGGTTACAAGAGAATTAATGCAACATTTTGTCAAGGTAAGACATTTCCAGCATTTACTTTGAGTAAATTATTTGGGGCTGAAATGAACTGTTTGAACTTCCCTATTTAATTAACTGGAATAATATGGATAAATCTAATATTGTAGGGTTTTTTTTCCAAATGCAGAGTGTTGCTGATTGTATTGTTTGGTGCTAAATAATGGATCATGATAGAAAATAATCTTTCAAATATCCTGGTCCTGAATTGTTTAAAAGCTTGAAGATAGAAGCCAGCACTTTAAATTCATTTAGTAATGAAAACTAATGGAAATAATATAACTAGCATCCTTGATCAAAATAACTGATGTTAGTCAACATTTAAAACTTTATTGTGGTAGTTCACCCTCGAAGGTTACTGGATCCCATAGGATTCCAGGATACCATGAGAGGGATTCCGGCCGATTGACTGATGCTCCTGTTGAGGCTCTGGTTTTTAAATTTGTAATGCTGCCCAGAGTAGACCTTTGGTCTAAATGGGCAGGGTATAAATCCAATAAAATAAAAATAAATAAAATATTGTGTTATAGTGCACATCAAAGAGAATCATAATCACAGTCAAGAGAAAGAAGCATTTAGGTATGTTAAAATGAAAATTGTGTCTTGCATCCATGATTCAAGAAAGGGTTCTGATTAAAAATGGTGTTTGAAAGGAAATATACCTATTATTTGTTTGTTTGTTTGTTTAATATTTGTGCAGTATTAATTACCAGAAGTTTAATAGCCTTGTGCAACTTAAGGCACCTTAAGAAATCTGCTAAAAACAAGAAAGTGTGTTAAACTTCTTATGGGGAGATTGTCAGAGAATGTAAAAGCTATACAGTATACAGTTGCCTAGTACAGTGGTGCCTCTCATAGCGACGTTAATCTGTGCAGCAAAAATTGCTGCTAAGCAATTTCGTCGCTATGCTATTTTAAAAAGCCCATAGAAACGCATTAAAACCTGTTTAATGCGTTCCTATGGGCAAAAAAATTACCTTAAAGCGAAGATCCTCCATACGGCGGCCATTTCCTTAAGCGAGGCATCCATGCAAAAACACAGCGGGTGGCCATTTTATTACCCGGCGGCTATTTTGGAACCGCAGATCAGCTGCTAAAAAATCTTCGTTTTGCGATGATCAGTAAGCGAAACAGGGAACTGATCATCGCAAAGCAAAAAAAACCTCATTTAAAACATCACAATGCAGTCGCTTTTGCAAAATCTTCGTCGCTATGCGGTTTCATCTCTAAACAGAGTGCCCGTTAAGCGAGGCACTACTGTAGTAGTAGGAACTTATTTCTCACTAGATGTACGTAGGATTGTGATGTCTACCTCTAGAAGGACATAAACCTTTTCCAAACATTTAAACTGCTACACTTTCAAAGGAAATCCATGACTATCATGAACAGTGGGTATCACAATTCAAGCCAGCTGAAATTAAGGAATGCTTTCTTCCTGTGTCCATCCACTCCTCCAGAACATCTAACTCCCTATCTTTGAAACTTCTGTCAACATTTAATTGCTTTGTTTTCAATCAAAAGCTTCCTCAGTTTACAAATCATGTGTCATACCAACATGATTAACAGCCACCTCCAGATTATTTATTTTCATTTCAATTGACCAGTGCAATTAAACAAATCTCTTACTGATGTGTGTATGGTCAACAAAGAATAGTCTGTTTGCATTTGAGTGGTCTACCATATATGTTGTCCAAATTAGGATTTATTTCTTCCCTTGGTAAGGTAAACAATTATTATTCTGTTGATTAATGCATTACTTTTACATATACAGACGACTAAACTATGAAATGCAAAAGAGCAGGAGCATGTTAGATTTGAGTCCTTAAAAAAAATTTAAAGCATATCATGTACTCCAACATCATTCTAGGTATATAATGTGTTAATTTTTTAAGGGCTATGTAATAATTGAAACAATTTAATTCCATTATGAGTTTTGTTTCCCCCTCTCCTTTATTTAAAAACAATGAAAAGTTGAGAAACAATAACTATCTCTTCCACTCTTCTCAGTGAATTTATTGGGACAAGAAAAACTAAACTAAAGGTCAGCTGGTAGAAGTCTTGGATTTTCATATTAAGGAGAAAATATTTGTCCAGTACATTTCCTTAAAACTATATGCATTTAAGAGTTGAAATGTACCTGAATGTTTAAACACTATTTTATATTTTTTATTTTTATATGTTTAAACACTATTTTATATTCCTCTCCAGAACAAGGTTATATTTGTGTGTACAGTGGTGCCCCGCTTGACGATTACCCCGGTAGACGACGAAATCACTTCACGATGAGGTTTTTGGGATTGCTACTGCGATCGCAAAACAATGTTTCAGTGGGGAAAAAATACGCTTCACAACAATTGGTTCACTACTTCGGGAACCGATTTTTCGCTTCCTGACAATCAAAAACAGCTGATCGTTGGGTTTTCAAAATGTTCGCCCGCTGTTTTCCAGACCTATGTCGGGAAGACAGTGATCGAAAATGGCTTCCCCTATGGAGGATCTTCGCTTTACAATGAGCTATTTTGCCCATTGGAACGCATTGAACGGTTTTCAATGCATTTCAATGGTTTTTTTCTTTCGCTTGACAACGATATCGCTTAACAGCAATTTTAATGGAACAGATTAACGTTGTCAAGCGGGGGACCACTGTATCCACGTACAGAGAGAGAGAGAGAGAGAGAGAGAGAGAGAGAGGATTTAGAAGTCCCGTTGGCTTCACAAAATGCTACGTTTAAAACTGTAAAATGGAGATATGTGATCATAGCCTCATGGTCTTGTCACACAGCCAAAAAACCTGGGATTTGACCTTTGTTAAAAACTGTGCTGAGTTTCACATTCACACAACACATTCCAAAGTGTGTATTTATTTTCCTCTCATGCATTTCATTTTCTTAGGAAGAGGGTTACAATAAATGGCCACCAGAGGGCAAGCTGTTTTCTTAACAAACTTAAGCCCAGTATGTACCTTGCAGCCACTTTTAAAAGGGAATATTTCAATTTCATAGTAGGAATGCAGGAAGCAACTTAAAAACTATGTGACTTGAGTTAGCTAAAATTAAAATGGTACATGATGTGGCTTTTTTGAGAAATGTATACATGATTTCAGTCCCAGAAAAAGGTTGAGAGTCAAGTTGTCAGGGGCCCAGAAAGCTTAGAGTGGGGGAAACATGTTTTGTTTTGTTTTTTGTTTGTTTTGCCAAGGATAGTTCTTATGTGAAATTAAACGCCAAAAGAGATATGTTGTGGCAAAATAGCTGAGCTTAGAAACTTACTTTAAAAAACTATTAGTTATAAATAAATCTCCAAGCCACCAGTAGTTAGTTGACATTAATTTCTATGAAGGAAATAACATAGAAATCTCTTATCAACCATTAGTGTAGCTAGAGCCACCATAAAACCTTGTCAATAGGTAGACTGATTAGCTTATCCTAAACACAACTGTGGAATGTTTGCCTTTGAAGTAGAGATGGGGGTATTCATATACAAATACGAATATCCCCGCACAGGTGGAAATAACAAGAATCTGGTCCCATGGGGCCGGACTATCCACTCACGATTTCGCCACTGACGCAAGCTCATCAGACCTTCCTATCATGCAATTGTCCACAATTGATTAGTCAGTCCTGGCAGAAGGCGGAATGACATGTGTACAATAAAATAGCATGTGCTGCAGGGATTCAGTCTTTCCCTGCCCACATGGGCAGATTCTCAATTCTGTTGGTAAGCCCCTATACCTGCCCTGCGCTAGACTTGATGGTAATATGTTACATCTAGCGAGGGTGAATGCCCAGCGGTCTTGTGGCTGTTCTAGAAGATGAAGGTAGTTGGGTCTGCGTCCGAGGGTGAGAGGTAGCTGGAAGTATAGCGGAGAGCAGACTTTCAGGGCCGCGCTAAACAGCGTTTGTCTGAAGGAAATAACATGGAAATCTCTTATCAGCCATTAGTGTAGCTAGAGCCACCATACAACCTTGTCAATAGGTAGACTGATTAGCTTATCCTAAACACAACTGTGGAATGTTTGCCTTTGAAGTAGAGATGGGGGTATTCATATACTGTACAAATACGAATATCCCCGCACAGGTGGAAATAACAAGAATCTGGTCCCATGGGGCCGGACTATCCACTCACGATTTCGCCACTGACGCAAGCTCATCAGACCTTCCTATCATGCAATTGTCCACAATTGATTAGTCAGTCCTGGCAGAAGGCGGAATGACATGCCTTTCTGCTAGGTTGGAGAGTGGCTAATCCATTGCGGAGACCAGCACAATAGGAAGCCTCTGTGAAATTGTGAGTGAAAATAACCCTCGTTATTTCCACCTGTGTGGTGATATCCATATTTTAATATGAATACCTCAATCTCTACTTTGAAGCACTGAAATAATCAAGCTCTCAAGAAGATCTAATTGTATTGAGGCCAGAGTTTTTTATGAAAAAGAAAACAGTGAGAACTAGCTTATTAATATACATAATATGCTAAGAAGCCCCTTTCTCTGTTTAAGGCATGACTTACAAACTAGATTTTATGAATGACTCCTTTGGAGACAAAATGGAGAATGAAAGATATTCATGTACTGGTTGTTGTGGGTTTTTTGGGCTCTTTGGCCGTGTTCTGAAGGTTGTTTTCCTAACATTTCGCCAGTCTCTGTGACCGTTATT